CCCCCCCATGTGGAGATGAGGTCCTCTTTTCTGAATGGGGACTAAGGGTTCCTCTCTTTGTAGGTTTGGGAGAATGGGATTGTCTTCTCCATGTGGGAGGGGTTCCCTTCCTTGTGTGGGTGGGGGTGCCTTTCCCTGTGCAGTGAGGGTGTTCCTTTCTCTGTGGGGATTTGGGGGGCGGATCTCTGGGTACAGATGGAGATTCTCTGAATTTGAGTGCTTTCTCTCCACAGGGATGGGAGTGCTGTGTATGTAGACTTGGGGAGTCTTTGCATGGTGACGGGGGTCCTCTACATTTGGGGATGGGTTCCTCTCCATGGGGACCGGGGCCGCTTCTCTGAGTGAGGACCGAGTCCTTTCTCTGCAGGGGAAAGAAGTCCTTGTATGTGTAGAGATTAGGGGTTCCTGTCTGCGTGATGAGGAGAGCTCTGGTCTGTACAAGGGGACAAGACAAGGAGGGGACCTCCTTTCTATAGGAATCGGGGCTTCGCCATGAAGGAGTTAGGGGGCTTTCTTCATACAGGGGCCAGAGGCCCTACGTGCAGTTGGGGGCCCTTCTTTGAATGGCACTGGGGGCATTTGTTTACACGGAAATGAGGCTTTCTCTGTATGAAGAAGTGAACCGAAGAGAAGAGATGCAAACCCCCAGAGGGGACCCTCCTCCTGGGGTGCCCAGACCGCTGGCACCAGGCCCACCTGGCTGTGGCGTGGGGGTCCAGCCCTTCACTGCAGCTAGCCAGGAGCCAGCAGGCAGGGGCGGGCGGAAGATGCTGTGGTCAGCACAGGTGTCCAGTTTCCAGCCCAGGGGAAGAGCTAATTATACCCCCAGGACCCGAAAGGTCAGGGCCTGGTGGCCCGGGTGGATGGGACATGGCCTGCCTGGGGCAAGGGGAAACCTGATCGTTGAGACTTTCAATTTACGCCTGGAAGGGCTGGACTTCTGGGTCTGAGGGAGGAGGGGCCTGGGGGCCCGGACTCCTGGGTTCTGCAAGAAGAGGGCACCGAGCTCTTGCTCAACTGTGAACATCTTTTACCTCACAGCGGCCAAAACGGCCCCCAAAGGCAAAGGTGAGGCCAAACCAGCTCCGAAGGAAGCGGCCCCTCAGGAGGCGCCTGCACAGCCCCCCAAAGGTGAGACGATGTTCCTGTGGGGTCAGCAGAACGTGGCTCTTCATCCCCCAGGCTCTCCTTGCCCCTCAGCGCCCACCCTGCCCTCTCTCCTTTAGCCCTACCTCCAGAGGTAACCTGCCCTCCCCTGCTCACAGCCCTCCGTGGCTCCCCAGTGCCCCCAGGTCAGAGCCCAGCCCCCTCAGCCTGGCCCTCGAGCCCCCAGCAACTGGCCGATTCCACCGAGTCTTGTCCAGCCCTGGACCCCACGGTCCGTCTTCACACCTCTCCTACCCCAAGCCCCATTCAAACAATCCAGTCTACCACCCTGCAGTTCACAGATGGGGAAACTGAGGCCCAAAGGGGGGACACGTGGTCTTTCCCACGTCAGGAAAAGCCACTTTGCCCCGTGGTCTTTGGCATCTGAGCAGAGGGTCCCTCAGACTCTGAGCCCTGCCCCTTAAGTGCCCTGCCGCCCCTTCCTCAGCCTGCCTCA